GTCGTACTTGAGTCTTTCAGATATCCTTATATCCTGATAGAGTTGATATTGGATCATTCATGACATTGAAAAACATATTTAGACAGTAATAAGACCAGGATAGAAATGATTTATCATTAGAAAGGACATCTAATTATTCAATCAATACTAATTATTTCTTGCACCGATATTCGATTGTATTCAAATTAATTCCCACATCTAATTGCATGGGCTAGTGTATTATTTGTCTTATACGCTCGCTTTAATATATTGATTGGCATATCATCTATGGAATACTAGATTGGATGTTTAAGAATGAGTATTTGCGTAATCACCTACGAAAATTTTATTTAATTTTACGCTACTATGAATGATTGTTGATATCCTACCATTGAAACTAACGGGTCCACTACTATAAAACGCTTAATTTCGCGGTAGAATGTGCTCACGATTAGATGCTTTACACTATTTTCTACGCTCTTCACTTTCACTTACTGGATACTGCCTTTCCTGCTAATAACATATGAATTACTGAGCACTTGATTTTATCTGCGAAAAGTAATAATTTCAGTTTTTTGGCAACATGACTATTTTCGATCCATTTTCTCTTCAATCTTTAAATTTCATAACTGTTGTTGCGTGCTTCCTTTCCTAGTCATGTGGATATGATCTCTAAAGTACTAGATTTCGCCTTGCAGGAAATTAGCGGTACCATTTCCCCATTATTACCTTCATTTTCAGCCCATGCCTCTTCGGTTTCATCAATGATTTAAAGACATCAACATCCTTATTCAAACTATTAGCTTTAATCTATTCTATTGGCTATCATGATTTATTGCGTGGATATTTAGGCCTAAAATAGAGAAATAGACTTGTTAACAATATTGTCTTTCTAATTAATCAACTCCAATTCGATAAACGGAATCATGAGTCATAAGAACATAAAATATTCATTGAAGCTATTGATTCAACGTGTTTTTTTGCAACGTATCCTTTCCTTAAATGCTGAATTAATCAATCATCCGGTCATGATACCATATTTGTTTTCTTTTGTTTAGTCGCCATGGTTGTTTTATAAATCAACAGTAGTTTTGTCATCAAGTCATTTTACTCTATATATCTTAGAAGACAAATCTGATCGGCCAATACTAAGTAGTAGTGGTTAAATGATTTTGAAAAATTGCCAATAGCTTAATTAATACTACGAGCATCCGTTAAGATTTTCTATTTTGATGAAATTTTATCTACAGACTATTAATGGCAAAGCTTTCATCAACGAACTAAATATAACGCATTAATAGTTTTCCTGCTTAACCTTAACCTAATACTGACATTGATTGCCGATCTAAGTACAAAGAAGTCGTGGATGCGTTAATCTAGTTCTATCTCCTACTGTTCTAACGGATAAATTATCTATCAATCAACATCTTGAAGAAAGCTTTTAACTAATCGTAACTTCTAACTTAGGTAACCGTACGTAGATTCCTTTTCATTCTTTACTCTATCGTCAAAATTTGGGTTGTAATGCATTTTTAAATTGGCTAATCACAGTTTAATCTGGATGAGTTTGTTACCTATTTCGATTTTTATTAAATTTTAAACATCTTAAAGTTTCATTTTCTTTAATTACACCTTTTGCACGGTTGATTACATAACCTGTTACAGGCATTTTTTTCCTTTCATATTTACTCTTTAGATATAACTTACTTGATTGTTTCCTACCGGAGGATTCTATATTCGTATTCTTGTAGTTACGGCATTTCATTGACAGGTTAATCTTAGGTTTTATGTTTTATGTATAGTCTATCGTATTTTCTTGATATTTTATTTGAAGACCTAAGATATTGGGTATTCATTCTTATAGTAGTGTGAGAGTGTTCTATCTTGATGTTCCTCTCGTTTGAATAGCGAAAAGTACGTTCATTTCTTGATTTTCTGCTGCACTACTTAGAAGGTCTAAAGATATTGGATATCGGTAGTAGTTCAACTCCTAATACTATAGTCTACTTTCTTAATATCTTGCTCCTTAGACGATGGAGGGATAATAGTTTAATTTCCCACATCAGACTCTCGCTGTATATATTTTGTAAATTTCCATGATTTTAAATCACTAAATATAGGGAAATTTATACTAGGTCGGCCTTGATCTCCATAGCATAACCTATTTTCTTACTGCTGGCATTTCGTTGCCTGCATTGCTTATAGATATGGGATAGCAATGTAGTTTACACTATTGAAGCTTTATTAAACTTGTAGTTTTACCCTATAAAAGGACTCCATGCATTTAGTAACAGCCCTTAGGGTGTCAGCGGTTCGGTTCTAAACAGTTCTGTTTTCTTCATTAAAACCTAATTTCAGCCTAGGCTTACTAGTTATGGCCAAAATGGATAGCAGACTAATGATATTTCAATTTGCAGTATCAAAAATGTTTTCATATCAGTATAAAAAGGCCACAATACCAAGAGTGAATATCGTCAAAAAATACAAACATGCACGATCTCACAATCTAATCAAACGCACAGCTTGAACTATTTCCGTGCAATCTTATAACCTTAATTTCAAGCTAATTTGGATCTAGTCTATACTTAGCTACTATCTAAGGTCCATCTACCAGCTAGAATAATAACCTATTTAAGCATCAGTCTTATCGTCAATATTGAAATATGCTGGTAATTTGAATATTCTTGACAAGCTATTTCTCGTTGTTTGGATTACATTAGTATTAAATGTAGTAGCCATCCCATTCTACTGTATATTTTATAGCAGAAAGAACTTATGCGTACGATGAAATAGAGAAGTTAGGATTGCTTTTATAATTGAAAAGAATCAATTTACGCAAAGGCAGCTCGGCATTGAAGTTCTTGAACTTTGAATTCCTTTGCAAGCAATCCTAGCAGTGAAGTGTAAATCTTTCACCATGATCCATATGGCAATTACCTTGAAAGAGGGATGCAATTCATTCTATCACTATCGTTATAACAAGTAGAAATGCCTAGACAGTCTTTCTGGATTCAAGAATTGCATGAGAAATGTTAACGTTTAAGCCATTAATCTATCCCATTCTTCTGTTCTACCCAATGAATTCATATTATTACACCATAGCATTGCACAAGTCTGCCAACATTACCGTGCTTTGGATATGCTTTACCACATAAAGTATGTTGAGCCGAGATACTCAATTTACTGTATGCTCGCTTATTCTAACGTTAATACAGCTTATACGAATACTCAATGTCTATCCTACATCATGGTTTCAGACAGGGTTAGTACTCCTCTAGGTCGTAGATTTCACAGACACATGGACACTTTTAAACTGAAGAGTTATCGCTTATTCGGTATAGAACACGATATCTTGCTATGGCAGTATGAGTTTCTTGATGACAAAAAATGAGTACCACGCTTGATTATACCACACATTTGCTAATTAAAGCATTTTTATTTAATTTTTCACTCTGTCAGCACAATATATCGTACTTAACGATTCTCTTATTACTCTCACATCATATATGGGTACTATTGTGAATATTCTCAGAAGTTATTGCTCAATTTAATTCAAAATAGAAGCGGTTATTTTAGCATTCTCTACATAACTGACTTTCTCAATTAGTTTCTTGACATATTCAGCTTTTTAATGTCTGTAATTTGCTAACTTCCATGGTTAAAATATAGCGAAGAAAGAGCGAGTTATGCCTCGTGTAGTCTACTGATTTCTGTGAGTAAGTTGATGAAGTGTGCCAAAGTTTTAATGTTTAAATTTAGTTTCACAATATATTTCGCAATAACAATATGTTAAAGTAGCATTACCTACTATTTGGATGGGTAAAATTCAACGTAAAGCTAACTTTATATAGCAAAAAATGTTTGAAAGATTATTATCGAAACTATGCCCAGAAATGCAGGATTCCATCAAGAAACTATAAATATAGAAAATAACTTATTGACTCATGTTTCCTATGCAAGTATTTAAAACTCGCATAGAATGCATAAAAATCCACAGATTGCTTTCTATAACCATTCATCGAATCTTTCTGGAATATACCGTATAGGAATGTAACTCTGTGAAATCTAGATAGAAATCGCCACGAAGGAATGGCGCAAGCAAAAGTGATAATTAAGCGTAGCATAGGCTTTACTTATTTTCTCCTATAAGCTGTATTCCTCTTGGGTTGCTATCTACTCTAAGTTTACGAATACGTTTAAAAATCAACATTTGGAAGTAAAAATTATGATTCGCTGCAGCAGTAGTTAGCCATAGGTGCTAATCGATGGAATTGTAAGTACACTACGTTGGTACCATTTTATTTTGAAGGCCTCAGAATAAAAATAAGGATAAAGGATTGCTTGTCAAACAGCTTCGATTTTAAATTATTTAATCAAAGTGCCAACATCTCTGATTATGTAGCTTAATATCACGTCTAGTATTTAAATCGGTAAAGTAATTCAATCAGAGAATTATTCTTTACGGGAAAAAGCATACAAGTATCATTGATACACCGTGTGATAGATCAGCAGGGAATCGGATATTAACGAAAACGATAATCACATAATATCGTTATTTTACAAAGTTGCTCATGTAATCATTTAATAATCACTTTTTAATTTATTCCATGCTTAACTTAATTAATATTTACGTCAGCATATTAACAATTCTATCCAATACCCGCGGTGCAGATAACCTTAATTTGACTGCATTTGTACACTATCTTAGTTGCCATCATAGGTTGGCTTCTATAGACATCGTTCATGCAAGTGTTTCACTGCTGAAAAAGTTGATTATAAAATGATGCTTTTTAATCATGATTTAATATTTTATTCCTCTCTCAATTTGTTTTAGTTTCCTATCCATACTGACCAAAAGTAAGTTATTCAGGCCATTAACGTGGATTAGATCATCGTATAAAAAGGTTACGACTTGTTTTGGTCAACTTAGATCCATTTTTACCCGGAAAAAACTTTCTTAAAAGAATCCTATTGCAAGAAATTAGATAGTATTCAAGCTTAACGTATCTCTGTCGGTAGCTATGGAATCACAAATGTCACACCATCCTCAATCTTACAAGTGGACTATGCAAACTAAATCCAATCATAATGATCGCTATCAGCTCGATCCAGTAGAAGCAGTACAAAGAAAGTTAAAATTAGATCACCATCATTTCTCTTTAAATAATCATCATTCAACTAAGCATATTGATCAAGAGAGAAAAGCTCATCCATCTATGCTTCTTCGTTCATATGCTAATCATCAGCAAAAACAAACTATCGCTAACTCGATAAGGTAAGTCGAGTAATCTATTTCATAACGGAATATTCAATCATGTTCTCGAATTTTATCTCACATAAACGTTTAGTAGTGTGTTTACAATATTGCTTATACTGTAGATTTGATGATCCAATTACATCATATAAAATTTCTACCATATTTGTCAAAATTATTCATGAAAACGTAAATTGATGTTTCTGAATTAACCGGCTATCTGGGTAATTTGAATTTATCTTACAGTAATAACTACCACGAAAAGAAATCAAAATCGCAGCACACTGCAAACCATCAGAAAGAATTACAGATGGCAAAAGAGGACATAGAAGCAAATGAAAAGCTCTCTGAGTTAAGGAATAGAGTGAATCAATCAAAGGAAAACAAATCTGCCAAGGTAATAATAATAAAAATATTTTGAATGACTTTGAATATCAGTAATTGCTGTAGGCCGACCTATTTCAAAGATAAAAAAAACTACCAACACGCTATTTGAGGATATAAAGATTTTACTTATGACTGAAATAGAATGATTCGAGAGATTAAATAGCGTAGCCTTGCCTAAGGTGTAAATTTTCAGGGTAAAACGGTTTTTAATAAGCAGTCCTATTTCCGACTAACATAGATGAAAATGTCTATTTTGATAGAGTTTGATTAGGTTGGATTGAAGTTCGATACCTGTTTTGATACTATTATACATTAAAAAATTTGCCATAATATATGTTATAATATCAATTTTTGTAGAGAATTTTGAGACTTTATTTTAAGATAGATTACTGTCCCGACTATATCTTGTACTGGAAAATTTCTAAAGCTTTTTTCATTACAATCTTGTATCACTATAGCAATTGATCGACCCTTCTAATTTAAACGGCAATAATCACCAAGACGAAAGTCCACAATCCAATGGTAACGATAGCACTACCAATCAATGCAGCCTTTTCGTTAATGATCAATCGCCAGAGAATGATAAATTAAAACGGCAGCAAACAGAAGATAAGGTACTAGCAAATATTTTAACTTAGAACGTACTGTTAATCATTCTTCAGTCGATGTAGTCAAAAGGTTTAAAACAGTTTCTAATACTACATCACAGTATATCAAACTTTAAAATACGCAAAATCAGCCAAGATCTTTCTATGATTATGCTATACCAGTAGAAATATATTTTTTCTCTCCTATTAGTAACACCTATTTACTTGTACAGTGTACAGAGTTCGTACACTTATTCATATCCAATGTATGGAGAATTTATCAAACTGAAAGCTTAATTTAGCTGTTAATAATTTTCATCTTATTTCAGCAGTAAAAATGTATTCTTGATCTGATACAACAATTTTAATGTCGCTTGATATGGACATGAAAAGATCAATGTTATTAATCATTTATCATGAATACCCTAGGAGGAAACTTCTGACGACAGCAATAAGGACCGTCAGGGGAAAAAGGCTACGCATGATAACGAAGGAATCAACAATAAGCGTCCATCCGATCAAGACAAGAATGATACTCATGAAAATTCACAACAAGATCAATTACTACTTCGCCATCAACAAAATCATAAAGATGACTCTGTCGAGAAATCATTTGTACCATTTGTAAGGCAGAAAAATAAAGTCAATGAACAGTCTCAACAATCGAATAAAACTCCTCAATTAAAAGATATGCACCTTCATCATGCAGCGAATAACAAGAGGTTACTAAATGCCATCAATCAAGATACTCCCGCTCCTATGACAGATATCCAACAATACTGGCAAAATAAGATGATACTGCAGCAAAATCGTCCTGATCTTATTGATCCTAGATTTGAGCAAGAAATGTTAGCTAGAAACCTTCTTCATTCTCAATTAGCAGCTAATAATTCAGTTAAAAATATCGATCCTGCCATATTACAACAATTCTACGCCAATTATCAATCACAAATAGCTAATAATAATAATCAAGCCAATACTGCAGTAATCAATGCAATCGGACAACAATTACATCCGAGCTATTTATCACAACTAGAGCTAGCATCGCAACAAGGACTTGCTTTATATCCAGGACTTGCTGGTCATCCTAATCTTCTACAAACCAATCCTTATTTAAAAGCTCATCAAATCAATGGTATTACTGAGGCCAATGCCTTGCAAGAATTAGAATATCAGCGCTATCTTGCTATGATGTATCCATCTTTACTTCATCGACGTGAAGGTGAAAATCTACCTATCAATCATCCTTTAATGAGTCCCGATTTAGCTCAGTTCCCATCAGCTCACGGTGAACTTCTTCCGGGTATGCAACAATATCCTTTAGCTGCTGTCAATGGTGCTAGTTCAGGTAGAAATAAATAGATATAAAAATTGGGCGCAACAGTATTCATTGCATAATTTCCTGCTGATTTATTTACTTTTTATCATATCCAATCATCTGACTACCGTATTTTATCAACGTAGTACTAGAAAGTGTTAATGTCACGATTTATTATTATGTCATAACATTTTTTTCATATTATTATGACTAAAATAATCTGACTTGAAATAGGTGCAATACCTAATGGATTACCTCCTGATGTAGCTGCACAATTGCAATATTCCTACATGATGCAGCAAGCAGCTTTGAATGGTCAGCGAAATTCTGCTTTGCATCCTTATGTACAAAGTAATATGGAATCAGGTAAGAGTCGTAATCGAAGTACTTTTTCAAACAATATTAAAGTATGAAATGATGACGTTAACATAAATAATTGTAATTACTCTAAAAATTACCAGAATTATTACTAGAATTGGAAAGGCAACGACAATTTAGCATGAGAAACGAATACGCTGATACTGCTAATGATAACAGCAATAGTAAAGCATCTAAAATAGATGAACAGCTCAGTCGGTTGCAACGTGAAGAAATGTTGTGGATGAAGAAGCAACAACAAATTAAGGAAGAAAAAATTAGAAAACAACAGCAACGTCAGCAGTTAATTAATTCAAATTATAAGCAAGTGAATAAAGAAAAGAAAGAAAAGAATTCTGCCGCTAGTAATGCATCATCACCTGTACAGAGAGTAAAGGTTCGACGATAAATCAGGATTATTTTTCTACTTTTTATATAAATGCCTTTAGTTATAGACACATAAGGATATTAATATTAACTTGGAGTATATTGTGCTAGATTGATTGAAATGATCTAATTAATGAATGATTACATCAATTTTTGATAGATTGAAGTTGCTGACCAAGTTAACCAAGTTAATAATAATATTAAAGAAAATGCTGATAGTAATTGGACTAATACAAGCAGTAAGCCCGTTAAACTTGTGACTCCCGACGTTAAAGGCAGCACATTTACCGTAGGAGAAATTATGGGATTTAAAGAATCTACAAAAAACATAAAGAATGCTGATACCGAAAGCAAAGTCAATAATAGATCGACTCAATTCTCGGAAGAGGACAAGCCTACCATGAAGGATAGCAAGGTATACCATTCAGTCAAGAATTTTTTCATATGCTAAAAATTCTAGCTTTTTATAGTCCTACATTAATGGATCATTTTACTCTTTGATTAGTGCTTATTGCTGCAATACATCAACTCTACGTCTGAACATAAAGGTATGGTTATTGCTGTAACAGCAGTATATAAAATTGACTACCAAGCCCAGGAATAGTATCTGAACGATGTTCAGATTGAATTACGTAAAATGTAGTAAGCTAAAACTGAATATTTGCCACGCGGTAAAAATTGTAGGATCGACTAGGAAAAGGAAAGCAGCGCATCATCCACAAAGTAAAGATGGTGCAAACAAGAAAATATTTTATATGGCCAAATTAGGTCTAGTGCCATGCGGTGATGAAAAAGGTTAGTAGGCAATTGCATTGTAACATCAAAATCATGATCAGTCCAGTGCATAGGTGATAAGTACAATGCGTCAATTCTTTTAAATAAGTGTTTCATAGAAAAAATTTTGGGAGAGGATAATTATTTTTTATGGTTTATTAAGGATAATAATGAATCCATACGGCATACATAGCTACAGCATTAAAATTCAAAGTGATAGTTGTTAGCAACTTTAATAAGTGATGATGTAATCTTGACAAAATTTGCTATTGTTGTCGATGCATATTGATAACTAGTCATTCGAGAAGAGTTTGAGGTCAAACGAAATAAAAGACGACTAAAGGCAATGGAAGCTTCTCTCGCTAGTGGTAGAATACGAAATCGCAAATTGAGAAAACGTAGCAATCACAATCAGGTAATGTAATGTGTATTCATGTCTGTCACCTCACACTCGTATATAACGATGGTATTCTACTGTCGCTTATGTATCAAAATATCTAAAGTCTATTTTATACTTTATCAGAAACAGAAACTATCTACGAACAAGTCCAAATCAGCTTCAAATCATCGTAAACTGATTGTTAAAGTAGATTTTGCTCGTCGTTCTTCACCTGACATGACAATTTTTCCCAAGTCGTCATCGTCTTCCGATAGTGATCAACCAACTTCGAGATCGCCATATATGCCTATAACTGAACCGATCACACCACCAGATGCTTCTTTAAGTAAGAATAATATAATATTGACCTTAATAGAACGGTTGTCGTTGGAATTGAATATCTACTGAGATTTTGCAATAGAATAATAATTCACTTCTATCCGCATTTTCATTGGTGATAATTGTGTATGATAGGCAATGATGAACAATCGTAATAATGGAAAATATTAGGAAAGCATGAAACAACAGATGTGTGTGAAGAAAACTAGATCTATAAACTAGGATTTCGTTGAGTAAAATTACTGAAGGAAGCCAACAATATTCAGATGGATACAAAGAAAATTTCAAATACTGCTTGCATCTTACTCTTGCTATATTGTATATTGATCTTTGATATAAGTTCCTATTTTATCAACACTTTTGTTGAGTAGCGAAACGACGTTATAAGATTGTCGTAGATACATGGATCAGGAGTTAGTACGTATTTTCATGAATTTTTTATTTAGGATCAAATTTACCTTCCCGCTTTCAACCATTTTATTTACGGTCATAAATTTTCATTCAAGATATTAATTTATAGGAAAATCAATAAATATTCTATGGAGTGATTTATAGTACTATACTTGGCTTAAAAGTAGCCATTATTTATGTTGAATAAAACAATCGTTAATAATGTTTTAATAATTCGATAACGTACAAATATTAGTAATATAGATCAGTTTCTGGTTTCCTATATTACCTCTAGATAATGACTTGCTTCTAATAGGTATAGACGACATACGAATTTTCGTTAACTAGTTAATCCTGATTGATCTATGTATAGAACATGTATGATGAAAATAATGCTGATGTACCTTCCCAGTCTAAGATCGTTATAATCATTTTTAATAAGATACAAATCTAAAATTACAGTAATAATGCTTTATACTTGAATAATGTAATTTCGTTTGTGAAGAATATACCGACGTAATTGGCGAATAATAAAATCAAAATCAATAATGGTTTGTTTTCTTTATTGATTCATTCATTTATACCAATTCTAAATAGCTCTTCGATATTACGGTGTAATGATAATATCGCTACTTTTAATAGTACCAGTAATTGGCATAAATATAAGAAATACAATTAAAGTATAGATTGTCACGGTAACCTATCCATATTTCTCCTAATGATAAGAAATTCAAAAACGCTGAAAATGCGCAAACATCAATTTAGCCTACTGAGGTAATATTATTTTCACCTCCATCAAAAAGTGTCAACTCATACAATAAGTATGATCGCAATTATTTTCATTACATCTAATTTGGAAAAGAAACTACGACAGATATGAACATCCATCATTAAAGATCAAGGCAATTATCGGTTGCCAACAAATGCCTGTTCGATGTTGTACAGGTATTCGTCACATTACGTTCATCCAGCATCTACAAATTGTAAAATTTCGATAGATAATGCAGTGATTGGTTTGTAATGACCCTATCAAAATTATCACTGGCATCTCTCGTAATTAGTGTACAATGTGGATACAGCAGATTTATAAATATTATTCAATTCCTATTTTACAGTATGCTATGAGCATTTAGTAGACGCCGTTACGTATGTAAGTAAGTAAAGCAACGCATCAACATGTAAATACTATACAGTAAAAATAAGATTGTTATCCAATTACGTAGACATATTTATAACATATATACTGTAGTTTAATAGAATTTAGTACAAAGTGGCATTCTTGATACTGTGTCATTAACAGAATAGATAAAGATACTTGATGGTGTTTCGTATCATTCCTCTTGGATTACAGTGGCTTTATATGATCTCAGTAGTGCAATTTATAGGATCATTAAATGGATATGTACGAGTCTATCTTCTGCCATTGAAATGCACAATATTCAAGACACGCTCGTGTATGTACATTGGTAACCTGTATGAAAGAGTGTAATGTGCTGGATACCTACAGTATTGTAGGTTGTAATTCTATTCAGTACCAGCCAGTTGAAGTTGTTCATCTTGCAAGCATTGGAGACGATACGACTGGTCAAGTGCTTGCGTCAATAAAGGTCTTATGAGGTTAATCTCCATCATGGATAAATTATCTAACCTAGCATTGGTTGCTTTTTCTTTAATCATTCCGTCCATACTCTTCTTTAATTTCGCCATGCGTAAATCAGCTATATCTTTTATTAATGTTTTAATCTCATCGGCATGGGGTATATCCTCTGCAGCACTGAAATGAAATAGGCAAAATATTTAATAGAATAGGCTCGATCATAACTTCATCTATTGCATCATATGTATGGTTATTGCAAGCATAGTAGTGAGGAAGATTATTATAGTTAAGTAACTCTACCTATACTGTAGTAAGATAAGACTAACCAGTTCATCAACAGCTGGGTTATCTCAATATAATGTGGATCAGGCATAGGACAGAAAAGTGCAGAATCATTTTCCGCTTGTTTCAACTCTTGAAGAGTTTCTGGTATCCATGAAGAATAAGAAAGAGAGCCAATCCATTATTTTGTATGCCATTTCAACATTTACATCATCTATAGCAGCAACATTGGCATAGAACTTACCGACATTCATCCATTTTGGAGGTTGAATTCGACATTTTTGGCGTTGCTTCAGATCGATGGCTAGCCATAAAGGCAGATCCGTTGGCATGGAAGGATTAAAGGGACCAACATCACCCTACATGAAAGGAAGAATTTTAATTCAACACCAAATAATCACTGCAAGTCAAGCTCATTATGATACTCTGTACTAGTAAATTACAGTAGTATTGCCATTGAATGGCTGGATTTGAGCTGTAATTTATCCATTAAAATCGTATGGCCATTACTGCAATGGCTAACTTTGATACACTATTAGGAAATGGCAAAGTGATGTGGCTCGCATCCGCTTTCATGAACTCTGTCATGAATTGATAACATGAACTGATTGGATTGATACCTAAAATTGATTTGTACAGTGTACACGTCTATGAATTGAATTTGTGCAAGCCTAGCTAAGGAAGCTAATCTGGCTGTTGGCAATAGCTTACACTGATTAAATAAATCTTGTTTTCTGAGAAATTGGGTAGGACCGTCACGATGCTATCTTCAGCAAGAAATTCAATCTCGCAGGCCTCCATCGCCTCGCATCGATGAGCTGGAAAGTGATCGAATGTTGTAGATTGTACCCTAGCTGTACATTGTAGCCTACTGTACACTGTACTGTACAGTACAGTACAGTATACTGTATTCCTGGACGCAACAGTACTGTATACTGTCTACTGTACTGTAGACTGCAAGAAGTCATCGATATCATAGTCTAGTGCTTGATCAGCCGTAGTGATCCATCCATGATGACATCAAGAAGGAAATCGGCTTCTTCTACTAGTCCATGACAGTACTTATCAAGTCATGGATATCATAGTGTAGAACTTAATCAGCCGTAGTGATCCATCCATGATGACATCAAGAAGAAAATCGGCTTCTTCTACTAGTCTATGACAGTACTTATCCAGTCATGGATATCATAGTGTAGAACTTGATCAGCCGTAGTGATCCATGATGACATCAAGAAGAAAATCGGCTTCTTCTACTAGTCCATGACAGTACTTATCAAGTCATGGATATCATAGTGTAGTACTTGATCAGCCGTAGTGATCCATCCATGATGACATCAAGAAGAAAATCGGCTTCTTCTACTAGTCCATAACAGTACTTATCAAGTCATCGATATCGTTGTCTAGTACTTGATCCGCCGTAGTGATACCTAGATGGTGACATTCGTTTCGCTCGCAAGCGGTGAATCCATCATGTCTACTGTGTATTACAAGCAGAAATGATGTCAGTACAACATATTCTGACGTACTGTTTCAACTCAATCACCATCGACAACATCATTTCCGTCCAGTACCAGTAACTAGCGCGGGAAATCTTTCACCAGAGTAGAGTAGAGACAGTACAGACCAATACACTGCAGTGTACTGTACAGTACTGTTTTGAAAGGCTTAGCATAGCATGGATTTTCTTGACGGGTTATACCAGAAGAAAACGATTAGTCCGTGATTTTCTTGCACCAACAATGGAAAATAGCGTAATAGTAAGCATTACTGTCTTGCAATGCAAGAACTTGTACAAATAGACAGTACACTGAATACAAGTTGATCCGAATAGAGCACTCTGTTAGGGTTGGGCGGGTTCAAATAAAAAAGAAATTCAAATTTGGCAGATTGGAAAATGTCCTCAAAGCGGACTACCGTCACAAACTACTGTCACCAAGTTGAGTCCTCCTGTCCTTCCTTCCATGCCGTTGTGGCCTGTCAGTACGACGCAATAACACCACAAACTTTGGATACAGTACGGTACGGTAAAGTAGAGTGGAATCCGATCCGGCTCGATCCCAACCGTGACGGCGATTTCAATTTTCCAGTACTGGACCATTTGTAGCATACTGGATAGTGTAAGATACAGGTCATCCTCTACTGTATCGACACCTACTGTACTGTACAATGAGTGTACATCAATTGATCCGGACTCCCGTCATGGCTTCGGTAGGTGATACTGTACTCTGGACATGCTCAGTGCTGACAACTCAAGGCAGCAAGTAGAGTACCATTAGGGTACCAGTACCCTACTCCCTGTCAGGGTACTGTATGACGTACTGGACTCAACTAGGACCGTAACGGTCCCTGTGATGGCCTTGCACGTTTCACTACCCCTATCCTGTACTGTATTAAACGGTGATCGCCACTGCAGTCCACTGCTACAACGCCATTCGACAGATGCAGCCGCCTTGCTCATTCCAACTGCTAACTTGGCCATAATTCTCTTTTACTTTTCAACTACTTCAACAAGTCTAACTGCGATCAAGTCATCAAGATAGCCATGGGTAAATGAGCTACAAACCAAGATCGATTTCCATTACAATAGGATTGATACGACATTTTGAATGTCAATGCAGTATTTCAAGCCAGATTGGAATGTCATCGCCATGACAATCAATTTACACCAAGCTCCGTCTTGAACGTCATTTCCCTTCATCATTTTAGTCGATCTCGTTGAAAACTTTTGACATGGACTGCATACTGTACAGTAGTAGTTGTTGTTGTTGTCCTATCCTCTCTTTCAGACGTACAGTGTGTGTGTAGAATTGGTCTTTACAGTGATATAGATCGACAGCATTTTTATCAGTTCTACCGCACAGCAGTACAATGTTGGCCTATTTACAGATGGGTTGCACTCAGTTTGACATCCTCAAAAGGAAGATCATGACATTCCACTTCCATGCAACTACAGTATTTCTTGACTAGGACTAGCTTGATAGCACAGCCAATACAATAGATTCGATATCCTGCATGGCTTCATTATTAGGCTACTTTTTATTTTCACTCTCTTCTAATTGAACTGTTGATGGACTCAGTCAAGTTCGACAGGATTTTGCATTGGTGGTAGTCTAGGATCGGCATGGGATGCATCTCTAAATTCTGCACAATTTGCCACCCTTGACACTGTAGTGAATCGATTGTAGACCAAGTAATTCTGTCGTAGGCAATGTTGTTCTCAGCTGAATACAATCAAAATGAGCTCTTTGCTGGTACAAAATGTCAACGACTCATGACACTTGCTTAAAAATACTCTTTTGTTCGCCAAGTTACCCCTATCACAGTGGAGAAGGATAACGATTTTAGAGGATGGATACTGTTATTGTTATCAACTTAACAAAGATAAACTAATGTTTCTGCTCCCAATTCTAGAAACTAACTTTAAATTCTCTTTCTGTCACAGCTAAACCTAAAGCCGCCAAGGGGGATGCCATGGTAAGCCACCGTGTTCATGTCATTGTTTTCGCTTACGTAATCGCTGCTTCAGCACTATACGTATTTCCGTCGATGATCACTATTTTCACCTTATAGTTATTCTTATATTATGATAATTACTATCGTTTCTAACTTAACTTGTTACTGCATGTGAGATACAACAGAATCAATGAAATTTCCACAGTGTATTCAACTGACACATACAGTACTATAACAATCTTCAAGTTGAATAGAACAATATCAAACTGTAGTTAGCTAGTGCAATTAAAAATAAAATATCCTCTTGGGCTTAATATCCTACTTTATGATTGAAAGGAAACAAGTGATTGATTAACCTTATCAAGTTGTACAACCCCATTCTACGATGATTGTGATCAATTTTCTATCCAACAGATTCCCAAAAAATCCGATGGTCATGTTGGTTTTGCAGATTTACCTAATCAGCTGTATAGAAGATCGGTTCGTAATGGTTTTGAATTTACGTTAATGGTAGTAGGTGAGTGTCCCGCAAGCACTATCATTAATATTTCTACCAGTTACAAGCAACTGCCGTTCATGTTAATATGCAAGAGACAATGATTCTCTTAATCTTGGGTAATACAGTATAGTGCTAGTTCGACAAATGGATAGAACAGATGCACTATTTTCACATCATTTTGTACAGCAAAAGCGCTATTAGCCGTATTGGAAAATTTATTTTTTTTTAATCGTAGACAATGGAAGGGTAGTCATTTTTCAGTAATCCATTACCGTTGTGTAGTAGAAGTATATATAGCTATAGAGAGTATAGGATAACAGCTCTATAATAGTAGAAGGTAGTTATGGATAGGTGTTGTATACACAGAGACTACGAAATTCTCTAATTTATACGATCATATAGCATCGTCTTAAAAAATACAGTTTTATTTTAATTTTCCTAGCTGACCATAAATTTATGATGATAAAACTGCAATAAATTAAATTACGAGTATAACATCCAAGACTTTCGTTCAATCCATTACAGGTGAATCTGGACTTGGAAAATCTACGTTGATCAACTCTCTTTTCCTATCGGATGTATATACTACTGCAAATTATGATGACAGAATCAAACAGACTTTACAGGTAGCTTGTAATATCAATGGATCTAATGTAAATAATATTTTTATTGCAATTAGATTTTCTCGTAAAGGTGATGATTTAAAACTTTGCAATTAATTTATCAAAAAATGTAAAGTATAAAAAGTATCACTCTTTATCTGTCAACTTTACTAATAAAATAGCATTACGGATACGTTTCTGCTATGTAACTCTCTACTTTCAATTTGAAGATCGAAGCCTCTACCATGGATCTTGAGGAAAATGGAGTTCGCCTTAAATTGACATTAATAGACACGCCAGGTTTTGGAGATGCTATTGACAACACAAACTGGTATATTAAATATTCTATAATTTACATAGACGCTCACCTAATTGAAGGACGGCGAGGTTGAATTTCTTATTTCCTCATTTTCGTTTACAGTTGGCAACCAATTATTGATTTTATTCAAAAAAGATTTGACGAATACATTCAACAGGAATCTCGCATCGATCGAGAATACCACATTGTAGATACTCGAGTACACTGTTGCCTTTATTTCATCCCTCCAACTGGGCATAGGTATGCTATATCATAGCGGTAAACATATGAAATTGTAGCCAAAATGATGTGCTTACACTCTTCAATATGAACTATTTCGATTCTAGCTTGAGGCCTATTGATATAGAATATATGAAACAATTGTACGATAAGGTAAATTAAATGATAATAATAATTGTAAGATTTGAAATTGCAATCCTAACGCTTAATGTACTGTATCGATATTAATTTACAGTCTTTATTATCCGATAGGTGAACATTGTTCCTATTATTGCTAAAGCTGATACCATGACTGAAGATGAATGTAAAGGATTCAAGAGAAGGGTAAGGCATTCAATACTTTCGAATGACATGTAATAATATTATTTAGGTTAGCCAATTTCTTATCTTGTACGATCTTTCCAGATTTTGAAAGACCTGCGGGATAATAAAATTAGAATTTTCGAATTTCAAGAAGTTGCCGGAGAAGATGAAGATTATGCTGCACAGCATAAATCAAGCAAAGTAAGATAAAACTACTAGTAAATGGTTTATCGCTTTAATAATTCGATCTTCTTGATTATTTACCAATTAATCTTTACTCTTTTAGGAAAGCATTCCTTTCGCCGTTGTTGGCAGCAACACTAAAATTCAACTTAACGGTGGTAAAGAAGTTAGAGTCCGAAAATATCCATGGGGTATGGTAGAAGGTAATATTACAAATTTGTGATACCTTTAAAAAAAATTCTCCAATTGAATTACTGACCTAGCTGCGATCAAACAAAATCTGCTCATATAGTCGAGAACAATGATCATTCCGATTTCATCCATCTACGAAATGTTCTCATCAGGTTTGTCATGATTATTTACAATTTTATATCGGCCATTTTAATGCAATTATTTGCATAAAAAATTGTTTATGTTTTAACGGATGGAAACAATTTATTTTGCCAGGACCCACATGTTTGATTTAATATATAACACCAATATCTTACATTACGAGAATTATCGATACAGAAAAGGAGGTAGTAGTGTAAGCCAAGAAGGTACAAATTATAAAATGCGTTTGGCCAAGGAAGAAGAGGAAGTAAAACACAGATTAGATACAATGGAGGCTAGAATGTCAGAAGTTTATGATACACAAATTAAAGAGAAAATTAAAAAATATAAAGATAGCGAAATGGATGTAAGTCATATTTGACTTGGCTATTGTATTAAACGTTAAATTATATTGAATATCTTAAAATGGATTGACAGATCAAGCGTCGCCATGAACACTTAGCTAAATCAAATGATCAGCTGAGACGCGAATATGAGGAAAAGAAAAAGAAATTCGAGAAGGAAAAGAGTGATTTTATTCACGTTTCTAAAAAGATAGAGGAAGCTCAACTGAGCGCAAAAGGACATTCGACGTCATCACTACCAAGGTCTCCAAAGCCAGGGTAAGTAACATTCATTTTTCAATTATTGACGGTACCGAATTGAACTAAAAAGATTTCGCTCTTGTAGTCATAAAAACGATAAAACCGACGGGAAAGAAAAGAAAAAGAAGAAATTATGGTAAAATATGCACTACGGTTGAATTTCTTGTTTCGTAAATGATGCTACGATGGTAGAATATTAAAATATAAATAACTCATGTGTGACGATTGGCGTTGGTGCTAAAATTTGCGCTTAGCGAAATCGTAGTCCAGCATTGATAATTATATAACGCAATTACAGGATATTATCACGGATTAAGACGGTAGAAGTTATTTTGAAATACAATTTGTTATACTGTAGTATTTGTTTGCTTTGGCTATTTCATTTATCACTTGTATCTCAATAGACTATAATTTGATAACAAGCCATAGATTTTATCGGAACTATGTTTGTATTTTGATATATTTGTAAAGATCTATTCTATGTTACTATCACTAATTATTGATACTATATCCACTTTGCAATTAATGGTATACCTAGTTGCTTTTAAGCATGATTAAAATTATGCCAAAGTTTGAGTCGTCGGAAATATATTTGGTAAGTGTTAATAAGGCGCCTCTTGTAGTACAATATTCAAATAAAACGAATTGAAGCAATTTATATGTAAACCGTCCTTGACTTACATACGAGACACTATTTACCCGAACGACGCAATGCACACCACTGGAATTAGCATTAAGATTCGTTTTGTGCAATAGCTCTCACGAATATATTAAGACTCGATATTTTTCGAAAGTACGAGAACTTTTACAGGAATTGGATATAGCGTAACTAGACAAACTGAACGACTGACTTGACAATTTACAACGAATTAATACTTAGTTTATCTTGTTGCAGGACTAATTTTTTGAGTTGTTGAAAAAATGATGATGAAATAGAAATGCTTACCCTGTGTGAAGTGTATTTATACTGGATATGACTTAAGTAATATTATATTTCATTCACAGTAATGAAAGAACCGTATCGAATGAAGTTGATATTTCTTCGTAGTTGCCAGCAGTTTTCACACTGTACAAATCACTTTCGTGGACATTTTGACGCCAGGATAAAAAATATCACCGATTGTAATTAACATTACAACCAGTACGAATGAATCTTAGCCACGGATGGTTTATTTGGGCGTTTTAGTTAATAATATTTTAATCTGAGTCACAACTCGACACTTGATTTGATGTAACAGTTGTAATTGTATATGTGATGTTTACTTTCATTGTGCCTCTAGAGCACCGACCTGCTATTGGCAGTATGAGTATCGATTAATTTTAAATAGATATATAGTCAACTGATCAAGGATTTAACTTATTCGTTTGTTAAGCCTTTTAGACATATTCAAATTGTTAATCAGACAAATCTCCAGTGATTGCTAAAAACTTGCTGATTAGCTTATTAGATTCTTCAATGATTTTACTTGTTAATGACAATGCGCACGTAATGACTCGATATTATACTGTTTGATATAATTCATGATTAATTTAATGTACGTATATCCACTACAAAAAAATAGAGTTGATTTTTTAAGGATATTGGAACTAAATGCTTTGTCAATTAAAATACCAGTCGAGCTCTAGAGTCACTTAACTTGCATAATTATCCAATTGATCAACCGGTGATAATTAAAAACAAAATCTATCTTGAATTTATGCTTTCCAGTATCTATCTTTCCAAAGATATAGAGCAAGTATAAGAATGGGCTACAGTCAAGTAGAATCCCATTTAAACTATTCTATTATGACTATAAGAGCTATTTTATTACGCAATCATGATTAAATGTTCCTAATCTAGCATTTGTGGCAACATTTCACGTATTAAAGAGTAGCTATCAAAATAATTACAAAAACATTAACTTAAAAATGAACCAAAATATTCTCATTTATTATCTAAGTATCGTCTTAGCCAGCAAGACCGATAGCTAGTCTTTTGAAAGGAACTAAAATTATCCAACTCAGTTGACAATAACTACTGCAGCAAAGTCAACTTCCAGTACTGCACTATTAACTTGCTTAATTGCGACTTGAATACATTTATTTTTCGATGTACCTTGCTGCATTATCGGTTCATTATCACAAGCATGAATATTACAAAATTTCATGTAACAACAAAAATGCTTCAAATTTTATTTTATTGATTGATGATCTTATAGCAAAGTTAACAATTTATATAGAGGTGACTATAACACTTGGATATTCCATTTAAAAGCATGAGCTAGTACAGTACATACATCGATCTGATAGCACAAATCGACATATTTAGTAAAAACATAGACAAACAGAAGACTTGAAATTAGGAATATATAGCATATTAGCAAACGATGGTTGCAAGATTGTTAAAGCAATATGCTACCTAGGATAATAAAAAGCCTGATAGCATATTTGCTTCAATGTTTTTCTAAATCGTTAACAATATTAACTTACAATTATATACCAAAAGCAACATTTTATTCTAATGCCTAACAAATATAAGCATCCAAAATATTTTTAGCGGTATAAAAATTTCCGAGATAGCGATATTGGGAGGTAGTCAGTTTGACCGAGATATTTTACAGGGCTGTTGTCAAGCTCGGGTTAACATAAAATGTTGTCGTCTGGATTTCTAAATAATATAAATATTTATTCATATTAGGACCGTATGTGACTATAATCGTGTCTAGTACTTCATTCTTATATCCATTGCAGTATTTTAACTAAGTGATACGGTATAGCTTTAGTACCTGGGCGAGAAAATTCATATAATTTGATATGGGATGGTTGACGGTTTGTAATTTCGAAATGAGGCAAGAAGGACAAATCGACGCAAGTAGGCTGGGTTGTGAGCTGTTTAGTATGGTAGAAATAGTGCAATGTTTAGCATTATCAATTTCAATATTAATAAGTTATTTTCTTGGCATAATTTTATTTCTATTATGGGTTTTATTATGAGCACTAGACTGACCTTATCAAAGTACAAATGCAATGTCTTCCTTTCTACTTCGAAAAATTGCAATTGTTCAAGCTTACTGACCATCTATATGGAAGTAATATGATTAGAAGTTATTAATGACAAGTTCTGGTAAACCAGAAAAAATATCATAAAATCGATGGTTAAAATGGGGAAACTGCACCCGTGTAGTTGGATAACGTTATAGTTATTCGCAGTTACTTCTACAGTAATCTAATCGTTAGATGAAATGGCTACCTGTGCAAGAGCGGTGCGGTTCAGTTCTAAGCCGGATGGCATATCCAATTCCATAACGGTAGGGTTAGGTTTTTGTACATTCTGTAACCTAAATTTTGAAATACAATTTAGTTAATTAATCCTACAGGAATTTCTTTCATTATAGGATATGCCTTAAGCCTGTTCAATTAGTCTATCGTACCTGACGCAAACTCGAGTATTTAAAGTCCTTCTAGCTCGTTGATGTTTAACTTCAATAGCGAAAGGTTCGTTAGGTGTTGGTTCAGGAGTAGTGTTGTTGGTTACATTATTAGTTGTTAACATCTATAATTGAAATAGCGTTAATTCATTTAGCTATTAATTTTCAAGCCTTTCTCAAAACGAAATTTGTATATCGATTTATCATCAAGAAAGCTAAGATATAAATTTTTCTAACTTAAAATATCTTTCTTACCTGAGTATAAACAAAGCCAGCTCCGAAGCAAGAAAGAGTAACTGATTTGGTACGAGGAGGTAGCTATAGAATGAATAGATTGGCATATTAATAAAATTTAAATTTAAATATCTATAGCTACTTAAACAAAGTAAGCATAGTCTAATCCATTCCTTACCGTAATGCTAAATGTCTGGTTCCTGTTGTATTTATTGATACTGAATGATTGATGAGCTTTGTAATTGGTATTATCAAAGACGATAATGTGAGCATCAAGTGATAATCTGTAGGTTTGCATAGCATATTTGGATAAAGCTTTAAGAGCAAGGCAAGTATCCTATAATAAAAAGTGATTAAAATGTTATTATTCAATTAGCTAATATCCATGTTTTCTAAATGTTAATACGTTAACTAAAATCATCTAAAGTCATGATCTATTTCCTTACATGAGCAGCGACAAATCCACCCAAGCGATTTCTCTGCGAGATCAACCACGAAGCAGTTGGGATGAATTCTTGTGTACGACGAGTGATCAACATCTTGGTCAACAATGCATAAGATGTAGCTTGGATGGTTAACGATTTCTCAATGGAATCCAATTCGGTAAAGAGTCTATTGGTATTATTAGTAAGTTGGATCTTCCAGATAGGAGTGTTATCTATTTATAAAATTTAAAATGATTTATAAATATGCGTATTTATTTACATGGCTTGAATTCGAGAAATGAAGAATAAAACTGGTCCAAAAGGATACTTACTTTCAGTGGTAGCAAATTTATTCAAATTCCTAGATGCTTCCGAAGAAAGATGGCTGTTGGATATGGTAAGAGCATAGCTGACGATAGAAGCAGTGTATGGATCACTGATTTCCTTCAAATGAGCTTCCAAGTAGGTACGGGCTTTAACCAATGGAAGATAGGCAAACTAATACAGAAATAAATGATAGGGCTTATTATTAAAATAGTAATTGGGCAAATAAAAAATATCTTGAGCGATAATTTACTCAACTTACAGGTGCATAATGTAAGTTGTGGACCAATGAAATAGTAACTAAAGCCGTCAAGGTGATATTATGATTTTGTGTGAAGTTCTAGAGTTATGAAAGACATTTTCAAATAGATTCAATCAGTATTTCCATGATTAAGAACGCGAAATAATCAAGATCTAGGATAATAATTGTAATATTAGCAAGTATCCTATAATCTATACCTTGATTGGCAATGATGGAGTAAATATGCTTTCTTCAAAAGCTCCATTTGGTTGTTGTTGCTTGACTAACCAGAATGTATTGCGGACAACAACACTAGTATCGATGGGGAATAATCGGGTACGATAGGCTTCAGCAAAGATCTGGCTTGTCACTGCAGTTAGCCTAGAAAATCAAGGCAAATATAGTTTATAATTAGTGATATTATAATGGCTTAGATGAGCAACTTGCAGCCAATAGGATGATAGATGTTAGGATTAGTATGATAGCAAATCAAGACAATTTACCATAAGCATCCAGATTTATCTTTCATGCCATAAGGACTGAATGAACCATCAGGACGAAGGAATTTCATTTGATGTTGGTATGCTATAAATTAATTTATAGCGTTAGAATTATAATTCATAATAAAATCGATCCTTGTTCTAAAAGTCCCTGACTTATTGATAGATTTAGGATTAATCGCTCTTACCCAATAAGAAGAGGCGCCTAGCCTTCGTTTCAGTTTCAGGGTTGGATTGGCGAGTAACTCTAAGGTAATGGGTAAGTTGGACTGGAGCATTCATGTGGATTAAGTTTTGTTCAGCGCAACGTCCAGGTGTTTCGAGTAAGTTGTCCATATTCTCAACGCTTAAGCGCATCATATCACCTAAAATAACATTCATTTAATGTTCCTATTAAGTAAAAGTGATGGCTAAAAATGGATATAGTATAAAAATAAGTCAAATTTGGCGAACCAGTGAAGGTAATGGTGGTCTGTGTAGGTTCATCATTAGGTGGTGTTTGGATGTTAAGAGTCTTTTCGAAAGATCCTGTAATGGAAATAATCGATAAATTATTAGAAATTATCGATTCGTCTTTATTCGGTTTCATTCGATTCCTGTTACCTTTAGCAAGATCGACAACCAAATTTTGAACTTGACGTCGTTCTTTTCCTTGGGGCTAAATAGTCAGGAATAGCAAAATTATTATAGATTGGTAAATCGGTTAAAGTTACTATAATTCTTAAGCTACAACGGTAACATATATCTTATTCTAACCGTTAGCATATACTGTATAATTTACCTTAACCAAAAGATGCTTCTCAACAGTATCAGCGATGTATCTATCGTTGGATGTTGCGCTCAAAGTGATGGGGATGTAACCGGTCGTGGTTGGAATAATTTGATATTCTACTTCAATATGTTGTTCAGCTGGGACAGTTACTTGGACTCTTTGCTTCAAGAATGTCTCTTCGGCTAAAGTATAGTGTTGAGAAGTATGGATAGTGGTGGTAACCTGTGGTAAGTTGGAAATGGAAGTAAAATTACAACCAAATAAAGATGAATGGTTGATTAGTTAAGGTGTCTTTTCTAATGGCCTCTTACTGTGATATCGTTAGGGAAGAAGTTGAAGAGGGTAGCTCTGATGGTCAATTTCTCACCGCGAATAATGGATGCTGGCAATTCAGTGGTGATAAAGAAATGCTTGAAAGCAAGCAACTATACAAAATAGAGAGAAAGATCAAGGTATCGATTAGTAGGTTAGTAATGGAATTAGGAAAAGTTGACGGAGTAATTTAGACCAAGGATGCAAAAAGATTTGTAGTCTAAGACTAACTTCAGCTGGTCTGGGAGCGATTCCAAATCCAGTAGTGTTAGACATGGACATGGTAGTTATAGCCCATTCGTTGACGGTGTTGGGAACTTCAGGGAAGAGAACGGCTTCTCCGTTGGAGCTGTTTTATGTACATCAATGAATCTGGTTAAAGTAATTTTTCCATGCAATCTTTTGCAAGCTGAAGTAGCACAGAATGTCTTAAAAAGCTTGAGAATGGCGATAAACTTACTCGGCAGTAGTATCTGTCCACAACCAAGTTTCTGGAAGGACCTTCTTGATCGCATCTTGTTCGTCTTCTTGTAATTCAAGTTGTCTCTGTTCTTCATTGATTTCATTTGCTATAACAGTATTGTAGGGTATACATTATTCAATTGCCTTGGTTTAAATTCATTCAGATTCTTATTCGCTGCTATAGCCATCTTATAATAATCCTAAAGTTGTTAAACATCGAATCTACTACACATACTAAATATATCTACTAAATATTGCACTCACTGTTTTCAGTTTGGGTGGTAAACAAGGGTTGAGTAGTCATTAAACTGCTCTTGCTTCTGAAAAGTTTTCCATCGGTAAAGACTAAAGTTTGAGCTTTCTGTTAATTCAAAATTAAGAAATATTTAGCCTTGGCTACACAAATCAATGTAGATATCAAGAAATATTTTGTTAAATATGGTCTGCAAGTAGGACTAACATCAAAGACAGCATTGGCGTCAAAATTGCGATAAAGTGGCAATGGCTGAGTGAGCATTTGTTCAGTTTCAGCATTCAAGTTGTAGTGGGTTGGTAATTCTGGTCGTACTCTATCAAAGACCTATTAAGAATAATCCAAAACTCTGTCTAAGCTAATCAAATGTATACTATAAACCTACACAACAAATAAGGAAGGCAAACGATGATACGACTTACATTTTCTGGAGTAATATCGTTTGTAGCAGTAGCACGGAGAGCTCTGATATCAATTCCCAAAATGCCAACTTTAGCATTTGGAGTGGTCTTGACTCTAACTTCGATGGTGCTGCCTGGTGTGGTGATATTGCTGTTAAGAGTAGTTGTAACCTAAAATAAGTGAAGTACAGAGTTAATAGAAGCATTCTAATGACTAGAGTTTACTAATTTACGAATTGAAGGCATTCCCGTCGATTAAAATGTAAAATATCTTACGTTGTTCTTGAATGTTGGCTGGACATTAAAGGTCAAGATGTCATTAACAACTTCACCATTAGTACGGACGTAGAAAGCAACAGCAGTGGTGATGGGGCTCATTTCTGGGGTAATATTAATGAAAAACAAAGTACTAAAACCAGTAATATTGGTGTTATTAGTGTGGATTAATTGGCCACGAGAGAAGAGCTACAAAATTGGGAAAAAGATGGATATGAGTTATTACTTTGGATGAGTGGAGATGGTTTTCTTTTCCAAGAACTACAATTATACATAATATTTTCCTTACCAACAAGGTGACTTGTTTCTTAAATAAATATTGAGTAGTATCAACTCTGATCAAAGTCTGGTTATTGCAGGGGACAGGGACAGGGTTTAAGATGCTCAATTGCAAATAGTTATTGCTTGGACTGACGAATTTCATAGGTGTCTTTGCAGCAAGCAAGATAGTTTCATTATTGTAAGTAGTGGTGATCTAAATTTCCAATAGGAAAATCATTGCGAGGAGGAAACGAAAAATAAAATAGATTAGCGCAAGACTTCTCGAAAGATTGTTCTAGAAAGCCAGAATAAGTTTATCGACAAAGCTTACTTCATAGCTGAAGAATTTGCTGTATTTTGGCACCGTAAAGGTAACGGTGTAAAGGCTATTTTCTGAAATATATTCAGTGCGTGTTCTCTTGAAACTAAAGACACCGATAGCGTTTAATCGGATCGTTTGCGTATTAGGGATTGGTTTGCCATCTGGAGTAGTTAACAAAACCTAGCAGATATAATTCATATGAGTTCTTGATGTCTGCCACCGTTGATAGTATACCGATATCAACCTAGATTGATTTTAAATATCAATGCAATTCTAGTACCTTGATTTGATAGTTCATTCCTGGTTTGTACGATTCTGGTTCGCTAACGACAGTAGCTTGAATCTTTTGGGTATGAAGAGGAATTCTCTTGGTGACATTATAGACTAAACCAGTTTCACTTTCAGTGACAGTAACGTTTATATATAAAACCAAACTTGGCAAAAAGTAACTGGGTAAAGTCTTGAGTAGAGAAAGTTGAGCAGTGTTGATTTTCAAGGTAGTGTTACTGTTCAACTAGATAGGAAACAAGAAATTAATAATTAGATTAGATCATATAAAGATTTCAATATTTCAAATTAAAGTCATCAAGGTTTGGATAGCATTAGTAGATGAGAAAAGATTCCCCTTACTCTGCCAGTTAATGTGATGTTAGTCTGCTTGGAGATGTAAGTGTGCATGGGAGACTGTCTATTGAACGTGTTGCTGCGTTTTGGAGCAAGATAGCAGACAACGGTATATTCTCCATCGACAGCTTGATTCAAAGGATATCTAATATAAAAATCAAGATATACAGCGTATATAAATGATGATGCAAAAAATATTTTAGTGCTTCATAATTATAATTGAATAACAACGCATAGATTGCATGAGTCAGTTGATAATATACCCATGCAATTTAATTTACCTGGCAAAAATTGTAACTGGAACTTCGGTAGTGTCATTGAAGATGAAATCGGGTGTGTGGACATTAACATCAAATTCAGGTAAAACTATAATTTCAAATAGTAGAATATTAATGATCTGCATTTAATTCTACAGAGCGTAACAAAAACTCTCTATAGATTGGAAATTACCTTCGGTGTTGATTTGGAAAAATTTGACGGTTACAAGGTCAGTCTAAAATTGAATGAATGGTCAATATTTCAGTTGAAAGTTAATTTAGCCTAAAATGGCAATTCTATCACAACGGCGATTATAAATCTGTTAATCATTTCTACTCACTTCATTTCGAACTTCAATTCTGTAAGTTCCATTGCTTGATCGTTCAGTAAGAGGGAATTCCTCAGAGATAAAACCTAATTATGAGAATTGATGGAACCCGGTATTAGTATATTATCGCCGCGACATCATTAATCAATCTCTATTTTTCCTTACCATTGGTGCAGTTTCGTGTTCTGGTGCTGAAGATGTTGTTATTTTGTGGATCCTAGTCCCCCCCCCAAAATGAATTACCATTAGAAATGTAATAGACTCAAAGAGCTCGTTCTTATAATATTGTATCTTAGATATTAGCAGACACTTCAAATTAAATTACTGTATAGTCTATCTATTGAGTTTTAGAATAGTCTGAAAATACCTTGATGGTAGTTTGGATTTTCTGAGTTGGAGTCGGCATAAATTCATCATCGATACAAACAACCCTGTAGCGAACTTTAAACATAAAAGGCGAAATAATTATTTTTCCCATTTCCAACTTAGGTAATTCTACTTACTATTGAAATATGATAGCGCTATATTACATTAGTCATTTCTTACCAGTTTGGCCTGGCTGATACAATTTCTTGTCAGTTTGCAAAAAGACAAAGGTCTTATTTTGAGTAGCAAAAATAGATTTGGTGGTATTGAAAAGAACTCCTCCAAATCCAAAAGCTTGCAAGTAATAGTCATCAGGAGTAGTATCAGTATTATTGAGTACTGGGATCTATAATACCAATTAAATTGCGTAAATTTTAATTTTAATAGTTGAACATAAAAATTGGTAAATTCATTAAATCTGAATTAAAAAGTAGAAAACGGATCTAATTTACCTCAAGAGTGACATTGCCAGGATTTCCTGTTATTTATTTGAAAGGAAATTGATTAAAATACTTGAGTAAGTAATAATTCAAAATATTTTGTAAAGTAGAGTGCCAATAACATTTCTCTTACCAGGAAGGAAAGTCTTGCAGCTCACTTGCGATATTGGGACGACGATTACTGAATAATGTCAAACCAACAGTCACTGGAGATTGTGCACGATAGATGTTAACCGAGATGGTTAAATTGCTGCCGAAACGGAAAGTCTTGGGAGCAGCGATGAAATAACTGCCCAAGTCAAACCGGGACGGGATTTCAGGGCGTTGAATCTGCGCTAAAGGATTATTAACTGGAACACCCTGGGTTCTAAATATAAAATATCGTACAAAATAATTTAGAGATTTGTATGACTCCAAGACTCTATATAAAATGCTTATATAGAAAACAATTACAAACATTTCTACATTTAATAGCGATTTGCTTCAGATAGTATCCAAGCTTACCTTGGTGGAATAAAGAAAGATTCCGCCCCTATTAAAAAGGCTAAGCATAGGATGAGAGTGCCACGATGCATCGTTGCTTTACGACGTATTGCGCGATGGAATAAATTCTAGCAAAGCAATAATTTGATATTTAGTAAATATTTACAGTTTAATAATAATTTAATGCATTATTACGGCTATAGTATAATTCAGCTATTGCTAACAGATACCGGTACAAATTGAAAAATTTTTTAGTATTGGATAAAACTTACTCGTTGTGGGAGAATTCTTCAGCGTTAGTTTTATATACTAAATGCTTTATCAATACACTTTTGAGTAATACTAACTTGATATAGTAAAGAATTTTTAAAAACTAAAAGATATAACAGTCAATAAAATGGAAGGAGGAAGATATAAAATAGTTTACTGGAATAAAGACAACTCTAAAATGGTCTTGCTTCACCGTCCACATTATATAGTTTGCCTAACTCAGATCACCAGCTGTTTGTGTTTGTTATTAGTCTGCTTGTTATGATCAAGTGGTATATTTTTTCTTCAATTTATGACGAAAATGTATGTGTAAACATTATCGTTCAAGGTAGTAAATGTAAGCAATCAGATGAGATTGGGTAGTGTGTTAAACATAAAGATGGTTGCACTTCAAGGCCTTAAGGATAGAGTAAAAGACGAGGAATAAAACTGAAAATATCAACAGCACCATTATCTATGTAGCCGTTATTCAAGAAGCTTGCTTACTGAGCACTATTTATTATATCTATCGGCAGGAAGTCATCATGCCATCGAGTATTATTCAAAATTTTGTAGTCGCCAAATAATGCGGCATAAAAGTCGGGAAAAAATTGAATAATTTAGTTATTTAAAGTTTTACATGATTAGTTCTTGACGTAATTAATCCTTGTACGTATATCATTCCATTTACTATCTTCAATAACATATCAAAATCATTGAAAAACAAAATTAAAGTATGGTATTTACTCTTTATTGTCGCATAGAAGCATCGAGTATTACAAATCGTCTAGGATACGCAGAATTATAAAGCCACTTTAAATCAATCTATGACCCCAGTTCAATTTAAAATTCTCAATATAACTCAATTTATTTTATCACATCATCTATGCTAGTCGAAAATCCAACGAACATGACATAAAAGTAGTCTATAAGTATGTTTTTGGACTATCTCTTGATCATATGATGTTTTAGCTGCCTTTATCAGTTCTATTTTCTCGCTATGAATTCCATTTATGTATTTACCTCGTAATAATGTCTACAACATCATGACGTTACAGCAAAACACATTCATGAATTGTTTACAGTAAACTAATTTTCTTCAATTTAAACAGCGGTTACAAGCGTCTGATTACCTTACGGAGATCTCGTACAGAATTTTTTATTGATCAGGGACTAATTGATTTTCTGAATATTCTTGTAGCGCTATAATTATCCTGTGATTCAGATCAATGCCCAAAATTTATCCTATTACTGTATCTTTCACGAGATACAATCCATTTTTCTTCAATTTATTATTTATTTTCGCTTATCATAATAGGCAATAAGGCACTATTGTCAAAAATGACCCCCTAAGTGTTTAAAACCATTGTATTGAAATCAATATTTTATTTTATCCAGGTCTAAGCCATATATGCAGCATTGATTTTATCTGAATTTCCGTTCAGAAAGATATCATGTATCGTTCATCTTACATAACTGGCTTATTTTATTTAACAATCACCCGTCGAGTTGGACAGCCTGGTGATCGGAGTACAAAGTTTTCCTTCTGTTCTACGTTGTTAAATTAATTCAAATTCTAACTACATGACGGTGATATGATAATGGCCCATTAAAGATATAGCAGTTGTATTTTATAAACTGAAAACTATGCGAACCTGGTTTATTGACAGTCTCCAGAAAAACGTGAGCCTAATATGGATTACTAAGATATTATAAGGGGATTAATAGATTAAAAATATATAAAGTTATCTATTATCGATATTCTTCTATGCACAAAAACGGAAAGTATCATTTTCAAATAATTAGAGAATTCGAAAAATTTTCGTAAAACAGCGTAGGCCAGTACTTATTTTACAGTATTGTTTTAATTCATTCGTTCATCACCTTTAATGGACCATTAATAGTAAACCTCCAAACAAAGATTACCAGTATTTCTATATAAAAACTATTAAAAAGACACACGGATGTGCTGAATACAGTTAATCGCTGATGCATGTTTATAAGGCTTAAACAGATTAAGTACGATATTATGATGAGAAATGTGTTCCTAATACATTATCATCATTTCATGGTGTTATTTTGCTAATAGTAACACTTTTAATATAATTACCTAATAGTTTTAGTATATGAAAGTATAAATAAATCTGGCCTACTATCTATTAAAATTAAATTTTATACCCTTTCAATTCCCATCCAATACATAATTATACCTAGAAAGGATCAACTATTGCATCATGAATTTATTGAGATAATTTACTGTACGGAACTGTATTATAATTTAATTCTAATAGCGAGATCATGGATAAATTTAAACTAATTTAGAGACAGAACAGCAACCAATAAAATAATGATATTCTAGGATTTTACATCACTAACTTTTAACCAAATTTAAAATATCATTTTCCAGCACTGTTATAGGTAAACCAATATTCGATAAATCATTATTGTAGACTAATAAACCTTAAGGCAAATTATCTACCATGCTCATTAAGATCGTAGCTAGCTCATAAAACTTATTAAAACCTTCCATAATGATATTAGCAAATTTTAAGGGGCTGGAAGTTTGTTTTCCAACTTACGGCTGCCGTAAGCCGATTTTTTAATATCATCCCTATTCCCCATTGAATTAAATGCTGCGGTAAACCTGTATAGGGGAAGTTTAAAGTGGATTTACCCTTCTACGTATCATTTAAGGAATACAGAAGAATACTAAGGATGGTTAAGGAAATCAGACAAATCAATCCGCCTCGAACCTGGTCTGATTTCTTAGATCTACAACCCTTTACTGCAAAATTATTACAGATGACCTATCAAGATACTTAATCATACAGCATAATCCCTATTTTGATAAAATTGGATAAGAAAAAGTTTTTATTAGGACGTGACATTATAAAATGATTTGTTTACCTCTTTCCAGTTTTTGCAAGTATACAATAGCAAATGTGTACAAATATATGGACTCAATCTCTGGCTATTACATATATCAACAATTTTATATCAGCTTATTTCATATTGTGAAAAAATTTTTTTATTGACATTTTAGGATTTGAATGTGTCGATATACTTCGTAAAAGAATTATATTATTATTATTATTATTGTTATTATGAGGAAAAACAGTAAGAAAGAATTTATTTAAATGATAAAATAATTTACTGCGGAGACTGATATTGTCTTAAATATTTCGAACATCTTTTACGTTTTGTAAATGTATCTTGAACTTCTGGCAAGTTTAAGTGTTTTAGAGAATCATCATAAATCTTGCTTGATTTAATCTTACTTTAAATAAAAAATTGAAAGTTTGCAACGGGTAGCCAGTTCAAAGTTATGTAAGATCTATTCACTCTATTTGTTATCACAAACTAGTGCGTAACGAATAATTAATTAAACAAAAAATGACTATAGTTAAAACCAACCATTAAGATCTTGTAGAGTAGGTTTTTTATCCGTATCCAAAGTGGATAGTAGGATACGATAGATATTAATTAAATACGGTACCCATGCCATTTGTACTACTGTAGCTAAATTTCCGGCATGTAATGTATATATATCGAGATATATCTTTATCATTAAATAATTATAATAATGTATATATATGAAAGTTTTCTACGTATTCGCAGAGGATCAATGCTAATATCTCTAAGTTTTCACTCATCTATTCTATCCCCTCTATGCTAAACCGGTAAAGTAGCTCAATTTCAGTGTTCATCGTAAAATTCACATTACACAGAAATGCATAGAAAGTAATGCGATTTTAATATGCGACCCCTTTGTTCTAAAGAATTTCAAGATTATTTATTTGTTTAAAATCAAAAGATGTTTCCAGATCCACTCATTTCGTCAATTACTAATGCTTAATCTATCTACACTGAAAAGCAACTTTTTTGGTAAATTAATCTTTAATTTATCGATAGAATTAATGATCTACAAAAGCGTTGTTTTAAAATTTTGCATTTTCATTCATATTCAACTAATCGAAGTCTGCAATGCTTATGCATATCATCATTAATGACGGGGCTGAAAATTTGCTGGCATTTATGATGTTATAGAGGAAACCAAAGCAGCACATACTTTGTTATATTATACTAATATGAATTGTAATGAGCAGCGATTGCTGATAATCTACTGAACTATGTAGAATAGCTTCATCAATCTGATTTTTCTAAAGTGAACTCTCAGAATATAAATATTTAAAAAAGAGAAGGACTTTGCCAGAGGCGTAAGTAATCTATCAATATAAACAGACATGTTGATATCATTAATATCAACGGATGGGAAAATATTGATATGCAGATTTTTATACGAGTATAATACACATTATAAACATCCCCACGAAGTGTTCTAATCATACTGATTATAAAATTATTTATTTTAACTCCTATAAATAGATCATGTAGAAACATGAGAAGCGTAGTGACGATTTCCCCATGGCGCTAAGAAATATCGGGTTTTTTATTCGCTATCGTATACCAATTAAATTGAATGATTAATTTGCACCAGAAATTTTTTATTTAATCAACATAGCTAGATAGAACTTCGTAATATCCACTACCACATAAAAATAGCGCATTCTAGGCAAAGATCTATTTTATGGTATGAATATAAGAACACAATGCATAGTGCATATTATACTGCGTATAGGCATAGTTTCTATAAATGCATGTAGATACTAACGCATGACCATATGGATATTCCGATGCAGACGTAATAAAGTTCCATAGAGCTACATACACTGATCTAACCTTCACGCAGTATTATCATTAGAGAAGCTTAATTTAAATCTGCAATTTTCGTAGTTCATTCCATAGATAGCCTAGGAAATTCCGTTTCTAGCTTTAGTAGCAT